ATGTAGTTTCCTCTTGGAATGGCTCTGTAAGCTACGTATTCTAGGATACCCAGCTTGTTGAGTGCTGTTTACGATTATTGGCTTTTATGAAAACTTTGTTTTTTTCTTTGTTTTCTTTGCTTATTAATGTTTTTGGGATTTCTCATTCATCAAGAGACCTGTGAATCTATAAGTACATGCTGATATCTTTGTTAATTCAAGGGCAAGAGGCAGGTCAGATTTATACGTGTCTGCAATGGGTAATACCATCTGTTAGGTTATCTCCTTGTTCTAGCTATTCTCATCAATGATGATATTGATATGAGGTCACACCTAAATGGCTCCTAAATCTTTGTAAAAAATTGTTTTTGGGATTCTTTGGAAGAAATATTATATTTAAGAAGCACTTTGGGTGTGTTAGAAGCTCAAAAATGGCAAGTAATTGCAAAATTTGGCTTTTCGGGGTTTTTGGTAGACAATAGGCTTATTCTCCTTGATTTTAAATCGAATTGTTTGAATATATAAAATGATGGTATAGTTATCCTGATATGCCATAAATGAGCAGTAATGGGATCTGTGCTAATGAGCAAGCCATTTTTCAATTAAATGGAATGATGCATTTTGCACAAGCCATTTCTACTCTTTATGACTGGAAATCTCAAGTAGCATATTCAATTACAATAATGGTGATACCAATTTGTCTTACTACTCCCAGTCTCAGTTTGTTACCCTTCTATGATCCTTTTCCTTATGCCTTTGATCTGTTTGTATATTCAGAAGACATACTGTTCTCTATGATTTTCGGATTGTCTTTCTTCTTTTACCTTGGAAAAGCTACAATTTTCAAGAACTTGACAAAAAATCGAAGAAGTCACTAGTTGTTAGCTGTTTGGAGTAGCTTTCTTGCACATTGTGCTTTGTGACTTTGCATCTTCTTGATGCTTTCTAATATCATTTAATTACTTTATCAAAATTTTTTCAAGAACTTGACAAAGAAGGGAAGAAGTCACTAGTTGTTAGCTAGGTAGATGGAGGAGAGAGAAAAGAACAACCTTGACAAGCCTTTTTGATCATCGACTACATCTCTGAACTCAAAACGTTTGGGTGAGCATGACCAAATTGCCCAAGAAGTCAAGACTTCGCTAGAGACATGTGCCAAGAAGGTGAAAATGTTCGACGAGTCAACTTTACACATTCATGAGGGATATTCCAATGATATCCAACAACCCAGTTTGGGAGCCACCTAGGTTATCCTTTTCTATCTGTACACACTTCCTAGCTGTCTCTTTCTTGAATTTTTCATGATTCCTTGGTTGAATGAAGGAAAGGCGAGGGCAGCGTTTTGGACGAGAGAGGCGACAAGGGCCTGCCCCGCCATGCGGCGAGGCGCTCGCCTTTTTGAATCGAGGCGCCAATTAATACAAAAAATTATAAATATTTAATTGCATATATAAATATCCAAAATCTCAATAGCAATAATATTTTTTGAGAAGGACAATAGCAATAATATATTAGCAAATATTTCAATTAAAAAATGAATAGTAGATACTAAAAATCTAGAACTTTAAGGACCCAATAGTTCAAAAGACAACACTAGAACTCTAAAACTCAATTCTTCTTCAAAACTATGCAACTCTTGAAGATCAACATCCATCATTATATTTAAAAAATAATAATTAAAGACAACAAGTAGTGAAGGTAGTAAGCAGTGAAAAAAACAGTCAGAGAATGCAACAAGCTACTATGATGAGAAGAAACGAATAAAGATGAGAAGAAGAACTATTGAAGAAGAAGAGAACTCAAGAAGAAGAATTGAAAAGAATCAAAAAATAGAGGAGCAGTCGCGACAGTCGACTTCAAGTTTCCAATTGTAGTAGCAACAACTTTAATTCCAGTCGATTTCAAGTCTCCAGTTGAGAAGGAGCAGTCGCGACATAAGTTGAAAAAATACCCAAAAAATCCTAATTTGATTATTTGGCTTTTTAATTATTAACATTTTGGCTTAAAAAACAAAAAAATGCGACACATATTGCATCACTAATTCCACGTCAGCCCTCGCCTTGGCTCGCTTTTTGATCTCGATATGCGTCGCCTGAAATAGGCGAAAAACCCGTCACCTCGCCTCGCCTCTCGCCATTGGCCATGAGGTGCTCGCCTTTCTAAACACTGGGCGAGAGTGACTCATACTACTCTCTAGAAGTCCATAAATTTAAGTCAAATTTACAAGGAAGCCTTGACTTGGCCAACACTTGACGTAGAAGAAGTTTTAGAAGATTGAAGGTTGGTGAAGAACCTAGCTAGTATGCAAAAAAGCTTGGTTGGAGGCTTAATGAAATGGGTTGATTATTTTATTTTTTGATGACAAGGAAAGTTGCAGCCACAACTTTTTTTGGGTGCGCACAACATAATAGAGGTACTCCGCACTAGGCAAGCCCGATGCGACAAGCTTGACTTAGAAGGTAAACCCTTTGCTTTTGCTTGCAAAGGGTTTCGAACTTGAGACCTCCAACATGGAAGTCCCAAACCCAAACCACTGGCCACCCCGAAGATTATTAGTCTAACATATTAGTGTGTACGTGATGAAGATATTTTCTTGTTGTTTTCTTTGAATTAGACCTTCATTTAATTCTAAGTAGTGTCAAAGTAGAAGATCAACACTAAAAATTAAGATCATTTCAGTGGACGAGGTGGACATGGTGACCACCTTATACAAGTGTTGAATTGCAGGTGGACAAGCTCGTGAGGCTTGGGGTAAGGAGTCCATTATTTTCTATGTTGTACAATTTGATGATGGATGTCTTAAGTATGATGATAGATGAAGTTGTGACGGGAGGTCAGAGTTTCTCAGCCTTGATTAGTGAACATAGTTGCGTGATGGTCACATACCTATTATTTGCTGTCGACATACCAGTGTATATCTAATGGGGATATATGTTAAGATATTTTCTAGTTGAGTTCCTTGAAATAGACCTTCTTAGAATTCCAAGTAGTGTTAAAGCTCAAGATCAACTCTTAAAAAGTGAGTTCATGGATGAGGTGGACAATGTTGAACACCTAGCACAAGTGTAATTGTACGTATAAAACTCTCCTTACCATTTACATAGGATTGCCATTAGCTGTTTCAAATTAGGGCTAGTTGTGTGAGATTCAGTAACTAAAAGATTTGAAAGGTGACTAGCAGGGTGACAAAAGAGACATTCATCAAAAGGGTGAAGGAAGCACTAGTCAAGAGCACAATATCAAGCATACCCACATATTGCATATTTTTTGTGCAGGCTCCATTTAATACAGGAGAGTTGTAATGGCTTCAAAAGAATTTCTAATGGGACTCAATAGAAGGTACTCATCGTTTTACCTAGTTAGTTGGGAGACCATAACCTCTTTAAGAGAGTAAGGAGATCCTGCAGTGACTGACTTCAGAGTTTCCAACAAGACAGTCTCATAAATGGATAGGGTTATTTTTGAGGACCAGATATTATAGAAGGAGGTAATCAGAAGGAAATATATTATTGTGGAAGGGGATGGAGGACTGGAAACATGAAATTGTTGTATGGATGCTATCCTTGGTGGAACAACATAAAGGAATGAGAAGACTTCAGTGGCGTCGTTACATATAGGGTAAGGGTGGTAGCAAAGTTAGCTTTAAGGTCACTAGGGTTGTGGTTGGACTGAACATGTTAAGGAGCCTCCCCAACTCACAGTTTCTTGAGCCAAAATGAGATGATAGCGCAACGGATTTGAATGGCACAAGATAGGATGGTTCACTGGAACTTGAGGTTTAAGAGGAATTTATTAGAATAAGAGGTTGATGGATTTCAAACATTGGAGGACATACTCTAAAAATAGAGAATTCGTTCACGAGGGTAAGAGCTAAGAAGTGATGGTGCGTTTTTTGGAAAGTTATGCCACCACAAGCTTTTGTTAAAGAATGATTCAGTATTCTTATGATGCCTAGAAAGGTAGTCTTGTTAGCATCAATGGAGTAAGTCAACTGAGAACACGTGTTACATAAGGAAGAAAATTATTACATGTGTTAGCCGGTGATTATTGATGGTTACATAGGCGACGATGTAGATCAACTAATACTTGCATTAAGTTGTGCTGTTCCACACCCCTTATTGGTTTCTTTGTGCACTAGGCTAGCTTGCCCAGGTGTCCACATGTTTGAAATGGTTTGTATCAAATTGGCTTGGAGTGTAACCGGTGATGCTTGGTTCCGTAAAGGACATATTACATATTTGGGTTTTTAGTAGAAAGAAGAAAAGTTGGAGATTATAGAATGTTGCCGCCTTGGTCATCATGTGGGAGTAGTGGAAAGAGAGAAATATGAACTGTTGGGGGAAATGAAATAATTTTGGTATTTAAGAAATTGCCAATTGTTTTTAGTTGGTCTCTCCTGCACCTAAGAGGTTCCTTTTGTATAAAACTTTGTCATTTTTAGAGAATTATACTCTTGTGTAGGTTCTTCTCCTTTTGATACACTGCTTATATATAGGAGTTAACTCACGTTGATGATATTATGTACCTTATTAAAAAAAGGTTAAATATATATTTTTCAAAGTATCTCTGGTTTGGTTTAATTAGATTGTATTTTAATTTCAAATAGAGGACTTTTATAGTCATTAACTGCAGGTTACATTTGCACCTCCTAACTTACATTCTGTTCTGTAAAGGGCAATATCAGGTTATGTCAAGAGTCTCTTTCTATGGTTCAAGAATATTTATTACTGTCATCCTTGAGTAAACCAGTCAGATTATCCTCTCAAATGTATTAGGAGATTAAAACAAAACATGATAGCTACTTCTTCAGTACCAATATTTGAGGGTAATTATGTTGTTTTCTGATAATCAGTTGTGGTGCATTTGAAGTCACATTAAAAGTGTTCATTTCCTGTTGCCGGTTACAGGACAGTTCTAGTTGGTTCAGAGATCTACTTTGACAGAAACAATGCGCTACGCACGTTGAAGGTTTGTTGGCACCCTTACAGTGACACCCATCTTGGAATTCTCTCTTCTGATTCGGTTTTCAGGTACTTATTTCTTTGTTGAAAATTTAATCAAGGATTTTTGATGATACAGTTCTCAAGTGGTGTATGTTGAAAACCTGAAAAGAGTTGCTCAATCTGTTTTTTAGACATTTTAATAAGACTAGTCTCTCGACATGTGTGTTGCACGTGGTTTCGGAGTCATTTAGTCAAGTTGATAGTATATTGCCTGACATTGGAGTATAGAGTTTTTGTTAAGTTATATCAATATTATTAAGTTGGAAATTATACACAAACGAATGAAGTACGCAGTTTCTGGAATGATCAGTGCTGATAGTTGAATGCTGTCTTGTTTGCCGATGTCAAGATAATTACATATAGTGTGAACCTATAAAGATACAAATCGAAGTTCAATTAGAACATGTAGTTGCTTTTACTTATTTAGCTTTTATGGGGTACACTCATGTAATTAACCGTATCTCACCTAATGCTTTCTTCTAGATGATATTCCAGGGGTATGTTCCTTTCACTCGTTTCGGTTGCTCTGTTCTAACAAAACTCTTGTTATCGACGTTGAAATCCCTCTTGGAAGTTCAACATAAAGTTGACCATGTGAGAAAGCATGTTGTGATAGGTATAATTTGGTTATTAGAGAATAGAAGGATTTCACGAACTTGAAATTTATAGGAGTAGATGGAATTCTAAACTAAATGAAGATTTGCTTGTTTAAATTGTTGGATACTAAACAAGAAAAAAACCCCATGCCTTTCTCTTTCAAAAAATACTATGTGCATTTCTTTAATCTTTTTCCAGAGGCAATTAGTACAAAAGAAAGTGCATCTTGCAGTACACATGAAAAGGAATTTATGAGCAATAACAGAAAAGAGATATGGTGTTTTATATCACCGGGACATGGTGTTCTATTGGAAGGTTTTATTTGGTGCATAGTGCATTATGGTTGTTGAGCTCTCAATATATATGCCACTTCCACATGGGAAAATAATTGTGGCGTGGAACTCTTCACGGCAAACATGTCATTCAATTTGGCTTATTAAACTAGATTAATTGTCCATGATCTGCTTCTTTTGGCAAAACATTTTAACGTGAACCCAAATGGAAACGATAGAACGAACTGAAACCTCTTTCTGTTAGCTCAAACCCTCAAATGACAATGATATATCTCTAAATAAATAGTTCCCTAAGTTGTACAGGTAGGTTTTCCAAAACAAAAGACTTATGGGAACAACATGCTGCTTTTGGTCTGTTACATGAGTCTATTTGTGGCCATCTGAAAGCTCTCTAAAATTTCTAAGTGAGATGCAATACTTCAATATATTTCTTTCAAGAAGCTAATCCTTTCGGACTTGATGAGCCGAAAAATATTAGGAGTATCAACAAATAGCAAAGAGGACAGAACCTTATATCTGGAAGTGAGCTGTCAGTAATTTGGCCTGTCTTGTTGCTCATTTGGACAAATTGACGAAGCTCTTTTCATTTGCAGTAATGCATGTTGATAGAGGTTAGAACTCGAACAACTTGGATCCATTTAAATGTGCAGTCCAAATGTTGGGTTTAGTAGAACCATTCCATTGTATAGAACGACACTGTTAAAATCCTACGAATTTTCCATAAAATATGTATAAATATAGTAGGTAGCTTGGTTTACTGCAGATTTACTCTAGCTTGATTTGACATTGATTTGTATTGATTTCCTTTCCTTTTAGGACATGTATACTTGGCTATTTAAACCCCAATAGCTTGTGGGAATAATCAAGTTGAGTTCTCTCTCAAATTCTTGTCTTCTCACATGGTATCACATGGTATCAGAGCTTTCTTTAGTGAGAAAACAAGAATACAAGAGAACAAAATTGCTGAGAATTTTTTTTCCAAACAAAACCTCCACTGTTTTGCAACTCTGACACTCTCCAGGGGTATTGTGCATATACCAGTACCACTATTACGACGGAATTCTCACAGTTTGTGGTGTTTTTCAGCCACTTTTCTGGCAGATTTGTTGTCCAGCAACTTTTTCCGGCAAGACAGCTAGCAGTTCTCTAGTTTTCCAGATCTGTTTTTCAGGTTTCCCCCCAGAATTTACTTTATTTTTGAACACTTGTAGATCTGTTTTTCATGTCTCTCAGATCTGATTGCTTAGCACTAAATCTGTGAGTTCCACCAACCCAAACCATGGCATCACCACAAAACCTTTATAAGGTTCTGCGAACTATTTATCTTTGTCCTCCTCTGTTCACTTATGGTGCAAGGGACAAGGTGTTCAAGATCATTTGGTTAAACAGGCCAAGAATATTACTGGAAAATATAGGGGCGAATGGGAGAAAATTGATGCTCAATTGTGTAGTCTGTTATGGAAATCTATTGATTCAAAGTTGATGCCTTTGTTTCGACCATTCCAAACTTGCTTCTTAGTTTGGGAAAAGGCTTGTGGGCAATATACAAATGACATATCCCGTTTTTATAATGTGATTTCTCTGTTGATTAACCTTAAAAAGCAGGCCTCGGACATGTCAACTTGTCTTGGACAGGTTTAAGTGGTTATGGAGAATTAATGAGTTAATGCTTGGTACTCCAAATATTGAAAAGCAATTAGAGCAGTGTCAGAAGATGTTTCTAGCTGTTATACTTGCTGGACTTCCATTTGATCTTACTTTATTGCGAGATCAAATTTTCGCCAGCTTTATTGTTCCCATTGTGGATTGACCTACTTGCTCTATTGTTACGACTAGTAGCACCACCTATGTCATCTAGTCATCTAGTACCACCTGCACATTCGTTTGTCCTAGCATCTCAAACTGCATTACTGACCATAGATCGAAATGGAGGCTGGCATGGGAAACGACCAAGATGTGGTTATTATAACAAATTGGGTCATACCCGTGATGTGTGCTACTCTACATGGTAAACCAAAGAATGCTCATGTTGCTCAAACTTAATACATTGGTAATCCCACCAATCAATTGTTCTCTCTGTCCGAGGTAGGATACAATGACTTTCTTCCGTATCTGGCGAGTAAGCAGACATCTTCATCAATAACTTTTGTTGCCCAAGTTGGTAATCTTATTAATCATGTTGCTTGTATCTCACAATCCACCACACTTGTCCTTGGGTTATGGTTCTCTGACCATGGCAGTCGGAGTCGGTCAAGCCAATTCCTTACCTTTCTTGGCTCTAAATAATGCTCTTTTTGTCCTTGGTTGTCCGTTTAGCCTCTTCCAATAAGTTGTTTGGCTAAGACTTTATATTGTTTTGCCTCATTTTTAGTGACTTCTTTGTCATACAAGACCTTAGTACAGGAAGGATGATTGGCGAAGGGCATGAGTAAGATGAACTTTATTATCTCAATTCTCACAAATCCATTATAGTTTGTCAATCTCAGACTCTCTTGATTTAACCCATAGATGATTGGGACACCCTAGTTTATTCAAACTTCAAAAGATGGTACCTAGCTTGTCCAAATTGTCTAAGTTGGATTGTGAGTCATGTCTATTGGGGAAGCACACCCAAGCTACTTTTCCACATTGTCCTAATAATCGTGCGTAGTCACTTTGTCATTTAGTTATTGTGATATTTGTGGTCTTATTAGAATCAATTCTACATTGGGTTTTGAAGGTTTTGTTACTTCCATTGATGATTGCTCAAGATTCACTTGGATGTACTTAATGGAAGATCATTTTGAAATATTTTCCATATTTCAAACTGTGCTGAAATAAAAAAACTAGTTTGGTGTTTCTATTTGCATTTTTTGTAGTGATAATGCACGCAAATATTTATCATCTCAATTTAAACTATTTATGTATTTCCATGGATATTTTCATCAAACTGTCCATACACTGCACAACAAATTGGGATTGCAGGGAGAAAAAATCGGCATATTGTTGAGACTGCAGACACTATTCTCATACAAGCAAATGTTCCATTGCGATTTTGCGGGGACACAATGCTCACCTCTTGTTATCTGATTAACTGTATGCCTTATTATGCTATTCATAATAAGGTACCACACTCTGTTTTGTTTCCAAGTCAACCTTATTCACTCTTCCACCACATGTCTTTGGGAGCACATGCTTTGTCCATATAGTCACTCCATAAAAAGACAAATTCGCTCCCCGTGCTCTTAAATGTCTTTCTCAATTAAATGGTACATAAGGGATATCGATGCTTCTCACTTGAACTCCAGCGATACCTTCCTTATGTTAGCTGATGTTACTTTTATTAAGGTCAAACCTACTTTACATCCCCTTCTACTCAACAATTAGACATTTCTGACATTTTACCAGTTCTATCTTTTGGTGATCCACCATAGTTTGTCCTTCCACTATTAACCTATCAGCGTTGTTCGCGCCCAGATGATTCACGCCCTCTGTCATAATCGTTGTCTGTTGAGAACTTTTTCTTTTATGACAAGGAAAAACCTGCAGCTGCTACCCTTTGGGTGTGCACAGGGTAAAACCCTCGCTCCTATGCAGTAGCTTGCAAATCACATAGGAGAGGTAACCCGTACCAGGCAAGCCTGGTGCGACGAGCTCGACCCATAAGCCAAACCCCTTGCTTTCGCTGGTAAGGGGTTTCGAATTAGAGACCTCCAACATGGAAGTCCCAAGCTTAAACCACTGGGCCACCCCGAAGGTAATCCACTTGTCTACATAGTCCTTCCATCGCCACTCGAAAAGGTAACCGCTCAACTCGTAACCCTAATCCTATCAATACTTTTTAAGCTATCATCTTTTGTCACCAACCATTCTCCCTTTGTATCATCACTATCATCTGTGTCCATTCGTAAGACTACATATGAAGCTCTTTCTCATCCAAGCTGACATCAAGCTATGATGGAAGAGATGTCTGCCTTACACTCCAGTGGTACTTGGGAGCTTGTTCGGTGGGTATATACGGTGGATATATATGTGGAGGTTTGCCCCGATGGATAGATTGATTGCCTAAAAGCTCATTTTTGGTCTTGACTACGGTGATATTTTCTTTCCTGTGGCCAAGATTGCTTCAGTTTTCTCTTTTTATCCATGGCTGTGGTTTCTTCATGGAGATCTCGAAGATGAGGTATATGTCGAGCAACCATTTGGTTTTGTTGCTCGGGGGAGTCTAGCAGCATGTGTGAAGTCTACGACGAGCACTTTATGGCCTGAAGCAGTGTCCTCGAGCATGGTTTGGGAAGTTTAGCATGATTATTCAAGAGTTTGGCATGGTATGAAGTGACACTAATCATACTTTGTTTTATTGTAAATTTGCTTCAGGTTTGTGCATGTATTTGGTAGTTTATGTTGATGACATAGTTATCACAAGTAATGATGATGAGTGAATTACCAAATTGAATCATCATCTTTTCCAGCTCTTTCAGATTAAGGATCTTGGTCGATTGAAGTACTTCTTGGGCATTGAAGTTGCTCAATCCAAATCAGAAATTGCCATTTCACCAGGGAAGTATGCACTTGATATTCTTGAAGAGATAGGGATGACGGATGGCAAGCCTATTGATTCTCCAATGGATTCAAATGTTAAACTTGTACCAAGTAGGGGGAGCCTTTTAGCGATCCAGGAAGATATGGTAGGAAAGTTGAATATCTCATAGTGACTCAACCCCTGATGTTACCTTCCCGGTTGGTGTCGTCAGTCTGTTCTTGAATTCTCCTTGTGAGTCATTGGATGCAGTTATTCACATTATTCGATACATAAAATCTGCTCCAAGGAAAGGATTTCTTAATGAAGATCGAGGACATGAGAAAATTGTTGGATATTCAGATGCAGACTGGGTAGGGTCCTTTGACGGACGATCCACTTATGGATATTGTGTTCTAGTTGGGCAAAAATTGGTGTCTTGTAAAAAGTAAGATACAAAATATGGTTGCTAGATCTAGTGTAGAAGTAGAATATCAGGCTATAGGCTATTGCAGGTGCCAACCTGTGAACTCATATGGATCAAGCAACTACCGAAGGAATTGAAATTTGGAGATACCAAAGGAATGGAACCTGTGTGCGATAATCAAGCTGCATTTCACATCGCATCGAGTCCAATATTTCACGAGAGGACCAAACACAAATATTGATTGTCATTTTGTTAGAGTAAAGGTACTTTCCGGAGATATTGACACAAGGTTCGTGCGGTCAATTTATCAGTTTGCATGGATATTCACCAAGTCCCTAGCTGGTCCTAGAACAAGTTATGTATGTAAGAAGCTTGATACATTTAATTTGTATGCACCAGCTTGAGGAGGAATGTTAGAATCGTAGGAATATTCTATAGCCTATGTGTGAATATAGTGGGTAGCTTGATTTACTCCTAGATTCGCTCTAGCTTGATTTGATATTGATTTCCTTTTTAGGACATGTATAGTTAGCTATTTAAACAACAATAGCTTGTGGGAATAATCAAGCTGAGTTCACTCTCAAACTCTTGACTTCTCACTGACGTTTATCTACTCTGTAGCTTCCTTTCCCCTTCCCTTTTCTCAGAGTGTTCATGTACAAGTGATCAATATTTTTGGGGCTTGTAGTTGTCAGAGGCTCAGAGCTTGTTGAATAGCTGTGTAGCATTTTGTTTGTTTTCCACAGGCGAGAGTTTTTTCCATTTGTTCTCTACGACTTTCTTAATATATCAGTTGCATGTTAAATCACTTGCTGATTGGAGAATTGTGTTGTTTCTACTTATTGACAAATTACATTGTGCTATATTTTACTTATGTATTACTTTGTGTTCAGGGTTTTTGATTTGTCTTCGGCCCTTGGCCAGCCAGAGCAGGAGTATTATCTACAGCCCGTGGAGCCTGGCAGTTCGCACAATGCTACAGCAATCTGCCCTGTCGATTTTTCTTTTGGGGGTGATCATATGTGGGACAGGTTCAGTGTAAGTTCTATTCTTATTTTGCAACTGGTAACAGTGTATATGTATATATAAATCATGATCAAAACAGTACATGGGTTGTACTAAAATCATATATTCAAGAGAGCTTACAAATTCTACTGTGCTATGATTAAATTGAATCTAAAACATCAATCATTGAAGCAGTTCCATTTTAGGATATCTAATTACACCAAAAACATTGGATGAATACTGAATTCAGCTTGATTTTCTGCATATTATTCTCCACATTCTCAATCATCTAGAGTTTCTCTCCTTCCAGATTAAATGTCCACCAGATGCAAGCAGGGACAATTCTCCATCAACTTTTGTCTTTTGCTTGCACCTACTTCCTGCCAGCTCTTGAGTGCCTCTGAATCCTTACCAGGCATAGTCCAAGATATGCAAAAATATTCTCCAAATCTGTCCTGTAATCTTGCAATGTAGAAATAGAGGATTCACTGTCTCTGCATTTTCCCCACAGAAGAAACATCTGGAAAATGGTTCCCTCTTCCATCAAATTGTCCTGTCTAAGGATGGTTTCCTTCACCTAAACCTCACAAAACAAGTTACTGTGTCTTATTTTAGTTTTCCAAGAGCTTCCAAAGCCAGTAGTTGATTGGAATGGTTCATCATTATGGAACGTTTCCAAGTTAGAAAAAAAGGTTCATCATTCTGTAAGCTGCACTAACTTGGAAGGAGCCATTGTTACTGCCCAGCCGCCATGACACATCTCCTCCTATCTGAAGCCCACTAACTACTTCAACTGTGCAAAAATTGAGCCATTCTTAGTTTAATTTTTTACCACCTTCCCGTTATATCATAGACATAGTGCTTATAAAAGTTATAAGCTCAGTTATACTTTGGTGATGCCCTGTTGACAAACTTTGGGGACTTAAAAGAATATACTTCATCAGTGAATCATGATCTTTTCACTATGTGAATATGTGGGATGATAAAAATTAAAAGAAATGGCATGGTAATAGTTTATGAATCGTAGCTGCATTGATATGTTTGGTCATAACAATATATGGAACTAGTGTATCACTATATAGTAGCAGATTTACTGTTTATTTTCTAAAATCCATGTTCTGGCAGTGGTGGTTATGATCAAGTGGTTTTACCATCATTAGCTTTGTATGTGAAAGTTGAGTAATTATATTATTTTATGCAGGTTTTCGTCTTGTTTAGTGATGGCTCAGTTTACATCTTATGTCCTGTTGTTCCATTTGGAAGGTAATTTGCCAGAGATCATAATGCTGCTAATCTTGAGGTTTTATTAGGAGATGCTTATGAACAGAAATTTAAATATGATGGTCGTGAAGTGATATTAATTTTTGTGAGGTCCTTCTATTAGTTGACAAAAAGATAAAATATCTTTTTCCATAATGCTTCTGACATTTTCTTATTTTTGCTCACTTGTAAACTTGATCAACTTATAGGTTAATTTCCTAATATTTTGATACTCGTGTGTCTGTATAAGAGATCTCATAGACTATTACCTTTCCCTTAGAGCAATTATTCCTCCTCCCATGTTTCTCATTTTCATATTCTCATCAAGACTTTTAAATTGCATATGTTTCTCCTTATGCCCTGTGTTGCTATTTTTGGCCCGTGCAAGTAGCAGGTCGTAATACTTCACTTAATCTCACCAAAGTAGCTGCTTTCTATTCGAACAGTGTGTACAAATGGGAATCTGTACTTGAGTTATATAGTGATGCTCAAATGTTTGGTCTGAAATCAGCGAATTCAAAAGCTGTGAAAAACTCAAATTTGGCAATCTCTTGGTTGGGAGCAACATTTCCTGAACTAAATCGGGAAGAAGTTCATGCAGAAAATGCTGCTGTTCTTAGAGCTCAACCTTATGCTTTATTTGATTCTTCAATCTCATTACAGGTACACTTTCAACTTACGGTGCTTATTTTCTTGATTTTGTTTTCATTAATTCTTTTCTTCTTTCTCTTGTTAGTCGATGCTGCATTTGAATATTCATGAATGTGAACTGTCAGATTGTTGAAAATCGAAATAGTGTGCAGCACACTGTCTTTTCTTACAGGGGAAACAAACTATTTGATTTTCACTTTATGTTCACGGATCAAATTCTATTTGTAGATTTTGAGAAATAAGTGAAGACTTTTATGTCTTTCAATATATTTTTATGTTCCATGAGAAGGGGTATTTATACAAGTGAATTCTGACTTAATTAAGAAATGACAATCAATTACAACAAAAGAAAAACATTGTTCTTTTAATTACACTGGGAAAAGGAAAAATAAAGTCTCCTAAAATCATGCTAATTAGTTAACACAATCAACACCTCCTATGATGGAGCAAAGATGTCACACGTTTGAACTTGGAAACTTAAGTATTAATGGCTATGCTGGCCACCTCGAAAAAGTTGTTACAAGAGAAAAGAGAGCACAAATACTTACAAAGATCCTATAAAATTCACTAGCTGGATCTCCTGTTCTTTACACCAATAAAGAAGTGATTGCTTTTCACTTAATTGTATAACACATTCTTTCCCTAAAAAAAATCTTGAGAAAATAGTCAAATGCCCCCTCAACCTGTTATTATATTTTCAGCTACACACTTATGCTTTACGGGAGTATTATTAATCCTTAGACTATTTTAAAACGGAATAATTACACCCTTAGATGCTGACTTAGCACAGAGAGTGTCCTCACTCTCTTGGAGGCATGTGTAAGTCAAAAGAATTGATAAAAAATATTTTAGTAACATTTTAATTTGCCTTTTTGTTAAATATATATTTTCACTTTTCTCTTTTACTTTTTTTTTCTTTTTCTTTTTCCCCTCTCTTTATCGTTACTCGACATTAACCTCTCCACCATTTCCTCCACCTTGAACCACCAGCACTATACTAACGACATCTTTTTATCCATCTTCTAATATTTTCTTTACAATTTGCTTCACGGAGTAAAGACCAATATAATTAACCATGGGTAATAGTGTGCTAGATGCAATACCTGGTTATATGATGTCTGTGTTCCCAGTACCAGATAAGGTCATACGGAGGATAGATGCTTTGAGAAGAAATTTCTTTTGGCGTGGAAATGAAGACAAAAAGAAGTTTCATCTAGTCACGTGGGAAGAGGTCACAAAAAACAAGAATGACGGGGGACTGGGGATTAGGAACATGAAGAAACAAAACAAAAGCCTAATGCTGAAATGTCTTTGGAAGTTTATCACAGGAGAGAATATGCTTTGGAGAGAGATGATCAGGGCAAAATATGAAATGGAGAATAGGTGAATGACAAAGATGGTGACTACGCCATATGGATGTGGTATCTGGAGATCAGTAAGAAATCTTTGGCCTCTGTTTCGTTCTAGAATTAGATTCCAGGTGGGTAATGGAATGAAGGTGTCATTTTGGGAGGACAGATGGATAGCCCAAAGAACCCTGAAACAATTATTCCCGGACTTATATACTGAGCTATCAATAAAATGCAACTGTGGCTAAAATCTGGACAGGACGGGTGGAACTTACATCTTAGGAGGAATCTAAATGATTGGGAGTTAGGGAACATAGTGCCCTTCCATGATACAATGGCACAATTTAGTAATTTGACCAGGGAAGAAGATAAGGTTGTGTGGAAGATTGGCAGCAAAGGGTTTGTCAGTGTCAAGTCAGCTTACAAAGATCTCAATCATTCAAATTCAAATGACAGGAAGGAGCTCTGTCCATGGCAGATGATATGGAAACCTAAAAATTCCATACAAGGTAAATTGTTTCACATGGTTACTAGCAAACGAAGCAGTGCTGACACAAGAGAATATAAAGAAGAGGAAGTTCCAACTATGCTTAAGATGCTTTTTGTGTGAGGGACAGGCAGAGACAGTCAACCATCTCTTCCTGCATTGCAAATGGACAGATCAATTATGGAGAATATTCAGAAACCTTAGGATTATCATTTGGGTGAAACCAAGAAACATAGCACAACTCCTAAATTGTTGGATCAATATAGGCAATACTACAATTAAGGAGGAGAGATGGAGGATTGTCCCAACTTGTATATGGTGGACAGTGTCGAAAGAAAGGAATCAAAGATGACCTTAGGATTATCATTTGGGTGAAACCAAGAAACATAGCACAACTCCTAAATTGTTGGATCAATATAGGCAATACTACAATTAAGGAGGAGAGATGGAGGATTGTCCCAACTTGTATATGGTGGACAGTGTGGAAAGAAAGGAATCAAAGATGTTTTGAGGGCAAGAAGAACAATTTGCAGAATTTTAAGATGAATTGTATAGCTCTTTATTATTTTTGGTGTAAACAGAAAGTTTTAGTACAGGTAGAAGAACTTTTTGATGTTATAGATTATTTGTGACAAAAAGCACAAATGGAGTTAGTCTAGTTTGTAATACTTTTGGAGGGGGGCTACTTTGATGTTGTATACCTGTGGATAAATAGGAAAAAAAGTTATCATTCTTAAAAAAAAATGCAGAAGAAGAAAGATTGGAATCAAGCCAAAAAAAAGAAAAGAAAATAGAATTATTTAACACCTTCCATCATTGAAGTGTCCATTTTATTACTAAATTTCTTTTTTGATTAACAGAGAAATCCATTCAATTAAAACAATTATGATTGTTAAATAATTTTCTTCGATCATGAATTTCATAAAGTAAACTAAACATGAGTTTTTGGTGTTTGATCTGGGTATATAGTCCCAGCCACTTGGGTTGTAGATGCCTTGATCGCTCCACTGGATGAGTTTATATTGCCCGACACATCAAATTTGATGAGAGCAAATTCCCATTTGCCGAACCTTCTATCCTTGGCCCTCCCCCATCCCAACCAACTTCGTCACACCCTTTGATTTCTCTCCCTGTTGCTATTGCTCCAAATTCTAGTCCTCCACAACCGCCCACTCCTCCTAGTTTATTTCCACCCGCACCTTGTGACACTCCTCATTCTTCGTCACCACATTATAGTACTAGTCACGGTCCCCACCAAACAAATGTACCCATCATCCCTCCTAGTGAGTCTTGTCCTTCATCGTCGACCTTGTCCTTGCCTACATCACCTCCAGTGGCCGACTTCTCTAATTACAATCTTGTTCCTAATCCGCCTCTACCACCCAAGCCACATAATAATAATAATTGAATTATATCTTTCGTGGTCTTATAATCTCAAATTAGTTCAGAATATCAACACCATTAATCTACCTTCTCACCGGTTTTGGGTTTGTAACATACATCAATTATCAGATCTTATCTTCAAGCTCTATTGTTGTTTGGTGAAGACCCAAGAATTTGACCATCGACAGCTCGTTATAAAATTTATTACAAATTTGGTGTCATGGAGACAAAGAAATAACATTATAAAAAAATACAAAAGTGATGAGTAATCAAGCTCGTCAAGGTGCTGAAGGATGGTATAAGGTGATGAAAAAATGATAATAAAATAGCTTTTTTTTTAGTGTGTGACTGATTTGGAAGAAGGGAATGAAAAACAAAAGAGAAGAAGAAGGAATAAAAATAACAATGATCTTTTTGTAATTAATCAAAATGGGGATAAAGAGATAATAAATATTAGTAACAAAAAATGACAGCTGGCAGCGAGTGTGCATCACTAGATGTTGAGAATGTGGTTGTCTAGTTTTAGGGTGGTAAATATTTAGTTTTTAAAGAAGCCAGTGGGGTAATAGGATCCCCTGCAAAGATAAGTGTGATGTTGAGAATCCGATAATAGGTTAGGGAGGCATTTCTCTACTTCCTCAAATTTTTTTGATTTCTTTCTTTCCAGATATTCCACCATATTCCACCAGATGCATGCTGAAACTATTCTCCCCACCTCTTCTGACTCTTGCTACTTTCCTTTTTCTAATCCAACGGCTTAATAAATCTCCTGAGTGTCTGGGCATAGTTCAGCAGTCCAGTTTACACTGGCTATGCTGGTAAATAAAATCCAGACCTGTGCTCTTCTCTTGCAGTGGAGAAACAGGTGTTTGTTGGTCTTCAGATCCTCTTTGCACGGAGAACACCTCGTCTACAATGCAGTGGAGAAACAGGTGCTTGTTGGTCTCCAGAGCCTCTTTGCACAGAAAACACCTTGAGGCTATGTTGGTGCCCCTCCTCTACAGTGCCTCATGAGTCAGAGAGGCTCTTCTAGCTAGCTACCAGCCAAGAGAATCTTTTCACTTTGGTTGGAGCTACTCTTCCAGATTCCTTTCCATGGGTCTGTTGTTCTACATGCACTTCCTACTGAGTAATTTTTTTAAAAAAAGATACTTAAGAGGCCATAAAGTCTATTAAAACACCAACAAATTAAAACATTGAAAACCAAATAAAATAAAAATAAATACATATGACAAGAAAGAAAATGAAAAGCAGAGAAAATGTTACGAAATGTTTTAAAAAGCTTTTAGGGTAGTTTTGTAATTATTTATTCTAATGCAAGTGTGAAATGCTATGTATTACTAATACCTAGAATTACTTGGTATTAGTAATACACAATAGAGTATATAACTAATGTAAGCATTAGTTATACATGGCAAGAAAATGTGCGCCAAACAAGGTACTACTAATACACACCTAATGCATGCATTACACTCTACCAAACGACCCCTTAAAGACCCATTTGCCCCTTAAATCTCTTTTTATATCTTTTCCATTATAATAGTGGAGGACATCTTTGTAAATTAATTTTTTATGCAATGCATGCTTTATTTAATACATCAAACCAAACAATGCATAGAAATTCTATATAATTAATGCAAGCATAACTAATACATGCATTGCTAATACAAGCATTACTAATACACTCTATTAAGCAGTATTCTTATACACTCTACCAAACGACCCCTAAGTAGTGTAGGGGTTATTTTTTACCAAATGTTCGGGATTAAAATTCGACAAAAAGTTTTCTTTTCAATTATATCCTTAGAATTATTATGGGATTTTCTATTTCATGTAATTGGGGCAAGATAGATAATTGTTTGCCAATATTGTTTTTTATGGCCTTCTAACTAGCTAGGAGAAGAACAATTGTATTGCAGTGTTTGCTATTTTCTTAGTTAAATTATTTGATGGTAAATGATTGTCATCTTAACAAATTTATCAATCAGCGTTAGTTTTCAATTTATAAAAGATAAACCATCTACTTTGAAAACCAAAAAGACGGTAAACAATAGTGAAATCGAATAAATCATCTACATTTACAGATAAAAATATGCAAGTTGTAGTTTTAATAAGTATGCAATTTTATAAATTGTTCAAAATACAAATAATTAGAAAACCACATATATATCAAGAAAAATACATTCAAGTCACAAACGTCATGTGGTGATATATTTTACTTTTTTATTAGTAAATGTTAAACAACTCACATTTTAAATATTATATTGATTCATTTTGGATTTATTTAGCAACAAACAACTCTCTAATTAATGAAATTTGCGAGATAATTTATTTAAATAAATTTAGTAGTACAAATATAAAATATATAATCAAGAAAATAAACAAATTGATTAAAATGATTTGAGGATACTTTTGTCTTTACTATAGTAATCCCATGGTATTAAATCATATGTATTACTAATACCACCAAATGGAAGGTATTAGTAATACATCATATAATACCATATAGGGTGCATGCATTAGTTATACATGGGCCCACAATGCCTACCAAACATAGTATTAAATAATACCATACATAATACGTAGATTGTTTCTCTTAATACTCCCTACCGAACGACCCCTAAGGGTATTAAGTTGCATTCTGTTGATAAGATGGGCAACAACTAGAAGGATATCCCCTAGTAGGTTTTTTGGTAGAGTCATGGTAAACATAAGAGATCTTGTCACTTCTAATACATGCCTAATTTTCCTCAGTCATATTTTGTGCACTAGAATAGGAACTAAGTTTGATGGATTATCCCATTAAACTCTAAATAAGCACCAAATCTTTTTCCATGTATCTATGCCATTGCCAGTTTGCACGATTTTTTTCTTAGCCTCAAATTAAGTACTAATCATCATCTTATGAATTGACTGAAAGTAAGTATCAAAAGTGTACGGCATAAATTGCTTAGCGATTTGGGGGTGCATAGTATTCGAAAGTGTGCCACATCTAATATATCTAACTAGTTCCTTGTACTGCTTACCTCGGTTCTTCAATCGTTGAGTTTGGTGCTTATTGACACATGACAGGCTCTTCTAAAGTCTTACAAAACTATTCTTCTAGTCACAAAGGGATTTATGTCGGAATAGCTAATGGCTTGCTAACCACTGCCTTTGGAACATATTCGATTGTCTATACACCTAATAGGCTGATATTACATTACCACCCATTCTTTATATATCGTAATTTCCTAATAATCTATTACTCCCTGTCCCAATGAATATTGCTTAGAGATTTGTAGGTGCATAGTATTTGAAAGTTATGTCCTAACAAGTGATATTGGAATCCCATAAACCATTATCAAATGCAGTAGGTTGGTTCTGCTCTCCATTAATATAACCAAAGCAATTTTCTAAATTTAATATAGAGCAAACAAGACCTTGACTATGCACGATACGCCCCATATAATTTCATAATATTGGTTTTTGTAAGAGAATTATTATCTATTTGCTTTGTGTCCCCCACAGAAGAAGAAAAACCAAATAAAACCATTGCATAGATCAGTCTCGTCGGAAAACCAGCTCTGCTTTGATGGAACCTAACTCTGGTTATCGAAAAAATCTGAAACTTGGTGGGTAAGCATGAAATTAACAAGAAGCAAGTAATCTGTAAAACATTCGGGAGTAGTCATTGGTGACACCCCCTCCCTTTTTTTGTTTTTTGTTTTTTGCTGGGAGGGAGAAACACTTACCTCAAAAGGCAGCAAGGACTCTGATACCATGTTGAATTTGAGTAAGAAGAAAAGGCTTCTTTGTATTTCAGTATATCATATTGTTGTATGAGAAGGGTTTTACGTAAATGAATCCTAACTAATTAAGGAAAGAAGTCAAATTCAATAAAAGAAAATATTCTATTCCTATACTTGCGCTAGGAAAAGGAAAAATAGAGTCCCCTAAAGTTGTGCTAATTAATTAACACAATCAAAACTAATTTTTTCAATATTATTGTTGTGTTTACCATGCATGTTAGATAGATATAGCAGTCACTAGATGGGCTTCATCGGCACCATTTACCTTGAACTTCTTCAGAAACCAACATTAATTTGAGTTTCAGAATGTGAAGGAAGAAGGCTTCTATGTGCCGCCCCCTTTCTAAAATTGGGATAAACGATGATAGTAACATGGCAGTATTAAATGTTGCAAGTTGTAATATTTTTAAAAATCAGAAGATCTATTGATATTGATGCATGTAAGAGAAGAGAACAAAATAGCTATCTACCCTTCAATTGAACGTACACGGATGACAAATATATTGACATTGGATTCCGACTGGATTGCACTAGGAAGAAGAAAGATACAGTAGAAAGTCTTTCCCGTCTGTCCTTATTACCTAGTGCATTGAATTTTTTGCCCAACTCCTTATCTTGTTGGATGCGAAACTCTTATTCTGTCTTAGTTACTTGTAACAAGTTGTGGCAGGTTTGATTTCGTGGAATATAATACAAGACTGTTACCTTCTCAAAAAAAAAAACTTGTGTATTGGCGAAGGAGTCCAGACTTGAACAAGTTTTAGAAACTGTAGACTATAAAAGTTGTGGTGGAAAACATGGTGAATCCAATTGAGACTTATTTCAACACAAATAACTCTATTTTCTCTTCCATGCATCTCCTCAGATAGAAATCCACTGAACTTCCATTTCTGTGTCCAGAGGGGCCTCATTCCAGTTTTCTTTCTTATCCTTTTTATGCTGAAACAAATACCACTATAAGCTTTGATTAGATGAGCACTGCATTCTCCTTTTTTCTGTTTCTTGAAGTGGAGAAAGTGTACGTGAAATTGCAATTTTACACGGTGACATCTAAGTTAAGCTGCACAGCTATTCTTGTTTCTCTTTATGAAGGAAAAGAGTGTATTTTCAGTCAGTGCAAAACACTTTTGTGTGCTGGCTTATGTTTTGGTTATATAATGGAACTGTTTTCCGGAAGAGATAGCTTGCTTGATTCTCTTTCCAACTATGTAACACCTTATGTTGTAACACTGGCTTCACTTGCAGGGACCTTTACGTAAAGTAAGTCATGGTGTTGAAGATGACTCAGTTCATCCTCCAGTTCATGAAGGGCGTGCTGTCAGTTTTCTTTATGATTTAGTTAGCAAAGATTCTATCCTAGTAACTGCTTGGAGTGGGGGGCAGTTGCAGATAGATGCTTTAGCTGATGAAGTGCAGCCTGTCTGGAAGGTTGGTAGTCCACCTCGGGTATGTCTGGATTCAACTGATAGTATAGTTGGCCTTGCAATGATTTGCGAGTCATTGTCAAGTGACACCTCCATTTTGAAGCTTGATGTGCCACCAGATCATACTTTATGGTTGGGGCATCCACCTCCTCTTCTGAGGTTGGCTATTGTGGATTTAGCTCTGCCCAGAAGAAGCGGTTCTGTTTTATCAATGTTTGTTGATCCCATTATTTCAGAACGAATATATTGCCTTCATGAACGAGGAATTGATTCAGT